AACTACAAAAAAATTCTTTAAAAAATATTCATATCATCATTTTTATCTACTTTTTAATTTATTGAATAGCTTAAATGATAAGATGGAGTTCACCACAAATTTGAATACATGATCAGTCTACAATTAAAAAAAAAAAGAAAATGGAACAATTAACAAACTACAAAAAAATTCTTTAAAAAATATTCATATCATCATTTTTATCTACTTTTTAATTTATTAAATAGCTTAAATGATAAGATGGAGAAGGCAATTGTTCATCACAAACTCCTAGGATGAAACAATAAATTGGAACAAATACAAATCCAAATTGGATGTTAGATAATTAACATTAACATTAAGATGTAAATAGAAACCACATAGAGATAAAAATTAATGAGAAAAATTCGAGATCGCTCGTGAGAAAGTGTCTTTCAACGAGACAACATTAAACAAGGAGACAAGAGATGAAAAATGATGAAAGTAGAATGCTCAATACCATAGTGAAGAAATTTTTGAAGAATACATTGTCTCTAAATTTGTTCAAAATTTCACCATGAACTTTCCGGACAATCAAATGTTAGATCCTTCTTGCACATGTACATTAGTATCTGCATCGATCTCGTCATTCGATCATGTCATTTGCAAAGACAATGAGTAGAGGTATGATAACAGAGATTCGAAATTTTCAGACAGCAGAAACTGGTTCGACTTCAGGAAGAATCGAGTCGCTTTTCACCGCATGGAAACCAATAACAAAAATAGAAAACGCAACGGGATTATCGAAGAAGATGAATAAAAATTCTTCAAAGAGAATCAGTTCTATAACATCACCATTACGCGATGGCAAAATAAATAAACATAATACTATCAATACATTTACTAAGCCCGCGAATAACGCTTCTATTAACATTTTAAACACCACGGAACTCAAATCTGATTCAAATTCAAATCTTCTTGTCGAAAACAAAGTTGCTCGAAGTATAAAATTTAATAAAACCACGAGTAAAAATAAAGTTGAAATATTTGAGACGTTAAATAATCATCGAGAATGGGACACGATCGAACGTGTTAAGCGTTCCTTGGACAAAAAATCCAATTACGTAGGCTTCAGAGAACAAGTTCCCTCTTCGAAGAGATTCTATCGTCATCCAGGCCTAAGTTACGAAGAGCAACAAAATCAACTTGACCACACGGTCCAAACGAGCAATATAAATCAAAATCTCGGAAGTGCGATGAATAAACTACCAGAGACTACTATCGAATACCCATCGAAAGAACCAAGCAAACATAGTTACGTCCCAATTTTTCCTAGTTGCGACGATACTGAAAATTTCGAATCGAACGATTCAGACAATAGTACAAAAAAGAACGTAAGAAATCGTAGCAACGATAAAGTAGATTTTGCAGAGACACAAGAAGCCAAAGGTTTAAAAACTGATAGAAATGCGTTAAACGAAACGTTTCAGGATACGAATAAATTACAGAGCTCAGTTAGACAGCAGAGAAAGGACAATAGTTACATCGACATACGGGATCACCAGAAAGGTGTCGAAAATGTAACATCTTCTGCTATTGCTGAGTATAATCCAAACAAAATTCCGTACGTCGAGGTGCCGGATTATTCTGATATCAGAGAGGAAAGTTTAGACGAGAGAGATCGTAAAGAGAACGAAACGAGAACTGACTTTGTCGATCCAGAAGTATTCGCTGATCTTAAAGAATCTGCTAAATCATCGAACGATTCGTCCGAGGGAAGTGTAAAAGACAAATCTAGAAAAAATTCAAGGGAAAATTTAAGTAAAGAAAGGGAGTCAGATTTGACGAATTTCGACAAATTTTCCGACACTGACGAATCCGATACGGATAAAAGCAAGGAAAGCAATTCAAATTTTACGAACTCGGACAAGTCTTCGGAAACCGATAAACAAGATACAAATAACGGAAATAAATCGTTGGAGGATTTAGGACTTAGACAGAATTCAGATATCAAGGATAATACGAAACCAAAAACATTGATAGGCTCCAAAGAGTCCTCTGAACTTTCAAAGAACGACGAACTTGAGGAGAACGATAAAAAGAATCTATTTAAAGATTCAAAGGATGATTTAAACAACGCCAACCTTAAGAAACTGGAATGGAAAGAAAATGCGAGGGGAGGGAATGGCGAGCCACAGGAAGATTCTGAGGAAACAGGGCAAGGGGATTCTGAAAGTAAATCGGGGCCCATAATTTTCGACATAAACGAATACAGGAAGCCATTCGATCTAGACGAATTTCTTAAGGACGATCCGATAATGAAAAAGTTGAATCTGCTCGAAAAGGAGACGCGGACCAAGTACGGACAGAACGGGAAACGAGTTTCAACCGACTTTAACGAATCCGAAAGTGATAATACGTTCAGGGAACGAGCGAATGGCCGAGGGAATTCAAAGGAGGTTCGAGACACTTTCGATGATTTACCAAGATCGTATAAATCCAGTGACTTCGCTGATATGTTCGCAAAAATCGACGAAGGAAACCAAAACGAAAGGAATAAAGGGAAGAAAGGAACGGAGAGTGATAATCAGGAAAGTGAAGAGTTTAATGAAGAGAATAGCGACGATGATTTTTTGACAATTTTCAAGAAGGACAAGGAGGATTTCTTGTCTAAATTTGAGAAAGAAGAACATCAAGATAACGAAAGCGAAGCGAAGGAAAAGACGAAGAATGATAATGTGAAAGGTGAAGATTCCGTAGAAGAGAACAGTAACGAAGATTCCCTAATAATTTTCAAACAGAACAAGATATATCCTTTAACAAAATTTGAAAACGAAAAAGTATTTCCGTCTGGATATTTAAAGAACGAGCAGAACAATAGAAACGTCGTAGATCGTAGAAGGAAGAATAACAAGTATCAAGAAGACAGGCACGACGCATTGTCGACGATCTTGAGCAAGAAAAGCCAGGTTTCGCGACTGGACGAGGACATCGATGGAAGGATCGAAGACGGGGACGCTTACAAAAACTTCTGGTCCTTAGAATATAAATCTCCGCGGCCGAGAGTCGACATGGAGGCGCAAGAAAGGAGGAAATAGCGGGATAGCGATTGAAATCTTGGCGAGACGTCTCGCGTCTTCTGACATTTTGACGTGCAACACGGATGAAGATGTTACGGTAGACCGATCTTGAAAGCTAGTCTATGACTCTTATATCAAACACTTTAAAACATTGTTGTTATATCTGTTAAATGTTTCCAATGTTTCAAAATAAATTAAAGTACGAACGTGAATAAAGTAATTGTTGAATCGTGTGTTGTAAGTTTGAAAATCGTCTACGATGATCGAATTATTTTTCAAAATTCAGATGCAGGATTCGGAATTTAGATTCAAACACTTCGAAGTGATTACTTACGATAGTTGATCTACGAGTCTGGGTTCGCGAGAGAATCCGGAAACAGCGAGTTCCTCTTTAAGCAATCTGGCTAACGATCGATCGAAATTTCCGTGGTCGGACGATTCCGAGAGTGCAGGAAATCGAAGAAATCGAATTAAGGTAAGATAGGCAGCGGGGTTTCCCTCGTCCGAGGGATGAATCTGGCCTCAACGGATATATAAGGCCGTCATCGTACACTGCTCAGTGTCATTCGTCTGGTTTTATCAATTCCAGCAGCCTCGGCTCGATCCAAGCGCCAGCAACCAGGTAAATACGATCCGATAGAGTGAAAACGCATTTCGTACCAGTCATATGACCTACAATATCCTTTACAACCTAACTTTCCATTGAACCATCGAAGTCAAATTTAGCCCTCGATCTCGATTCCCGGTATTGTTCATGTTCACCGAACTCGAAGCACATCCTGGTCCATTGATCCGCGAGCGATCGCCGTTTCCACGATCGATCGTGCGTTAACCGCGGCACAAAGATCGATCGATCCTTGGTCTTGAATCTTTCAAGTGCTTCCTGGAGAGAGACGGGGGGAAAAGAGAGAGAGAGAGAGAGAGGAGACGATTGCGAGACGAAGAGATAAAACACACCTTCCATCCATATTTATTATCTTTATGTGTTCACAATGTGGCCGTTAAGGAGAACGCGGAAGTATCGCGGTAGATTCCGGTTGTAAATGACGATATATATACGAAACGGAGAAAAAACGGGTGAAAAAAGAGAGAGAGAAGGGGAGAGGAAAAAAGAAAGAATACAAAAAAAAGTGGCCACCGACGTAGCGGATACGCTCGAACAATTTATATCGAAGAGACACGAAGACCGCCCGCAGGCGATAAGTATCTACGTTCGCGAAACAGAAAGAATAATTCGGACATATTAACGAGATACGCGTGTGATTCGTTCTTCTGTTTCTTTTTTATTTTTTACTACCAGCAACGCTTGGTTGCAACGTCTGTTTTTATCGGGTTGACTTTAATCGTTTAAGCTCGAGTTGCCTCGACGACTTCGACAACTTGGCGCGTTTATCCCTGAAAGTTCATGAATGTCATTCCCCGTCTCTTTTATGTTAGCACGTTTCTTTATCCTTTTTTATCGACTGATCGAACGAAACGGATAATTAATCGAGGAAAGTGTACATGACCATTATAATCGATCATTATTCAAGCGGCTTTGAATTGTGCATCCTGTCAGAGGCTAGAATTATCGAGACTCTATGCTTTATAATTGTATCCTGTTAGATCTACCTTCACTAGGACTCATCTTCTATTGGATGTAGGTGTTTCTTTTTTTCTTTTTTTCTCGTTTTGGTTCGCTGTGCCGTGTAAGAGTAAAAGCTGATGAACTGCACGCGATATCGAGAGTCGCTATCATTTCTATCGCAGATCCTGTTGGTTTCTTTGTCTTCTTTTCTGTTGAACATTGTCAGACGCAATTAACAATGGCATAGTGGTGTCTCGCGTCTGAGTGAAAGTTGTTACGTTCTTCGAGGTAGAAAGGGGGAATTGGCTAGTTTTGTGGATAAATAGTATCTCTTTGGAGACTGAGAATTCTCCAATTCGATTTAGTCGTTTAGATGAAGTTACGGGACTAATGGGTAATTTGTAAGAAAATTATTCCCTTGTTATGATATTTCTGACACAGATAACAATTACATCTATTGCAATATGGGATACTATTATGAGTGCAATTACATATCCCATTTTAAAGATTACAATTTCTTGGTGCAGGCTCGTTCGATCGAAGACACGATGATCGGCGGAAATAACTTAAAATATCTATCTAATACCTGTCTGAGAAGTTCGTAGAGTTTTTGATACTTGATATCTGTCGTAGATTTTCAAAATTACGAGTAACATTCTTTCAAAATTAAATGTACTATGTCGTTATATCGCTGCATTCCTCGATAAAGGAAAAATCTGTCTCAAAATGGTTAATATAATCGTTGCTCAGGACGAATTAACACATTTGAATCTGATATTTGTTTCAGTCATGAACGCTTCAACTCGCATTTTGCTGGTGCTCTTCGTGTCCTACGCTATAGCCTTCATGCTCGTTGCAGGGAGTGTTCCCTTCGACCGAGCCATAGGTGAGTTTAGTTAAAAAATAATAATGAATTTTGCGCAATGACACGCGCCAATTCCACGTTTGAAAGTTGACCAAATTTTGAATTAATTTCTTTCGAGCTCTATGTTTGAAAATTAACCGTTTTAATCGCTGTGCTCCGAATTGATTTCTTAGGAGTGTGCATCAGAAATTGCGCCCAGTGCAAGAAAATGTTCGGTCCGTACTTCCTTGGACAGAAGTGCGCCGATTCTTGCGTCAAATACAAAGGAAAGCTCATCCCCGACTGCGAGGATGAAGGTTCGATTCAACCGTTCCTCCAAGCTCTCGATAGCGACTATTAAAACTCGTAATGCTTATTCGTGTCAACGTGCATTATACGTAATATGTGCCAAAAATACGTGTTATATATATATAATATATAAAATATGTGTTACATAAAACGTGTGAATTATGTGTAAATTCGCAAGCAGAGGTCTTAATCTTTTAGAGTCTAAGCAGTATTCGACGTTTAGTTCTTATTTAACAAGCTATTCTCAAAGACAGATCGTATTCTTGTAACGAATAATGTATTTGTGTTAATATATTTCTATGCTGAATCGTTTTATATGTTACAATTGAAAAGAATCGAATGAAACTGAATGTCGAGTCTAGTTTGACAAAGGGTTAGACAGTATGTATATAAGATCATAGTATATTTTTCTCTTGAGCACAGGGTACCACGAATTTTTACTTTTGTAATCAATTTTTAATCGAAACTCAGGGAAACGTATAAGTATGTGCGAGAAATTGAGAGAATTTGATTTCACGCCTTATTTGTGAGTATTATATATCATATTACATGTATTAGCTAATAACATCGACCAAAAATTTGGGATCATTTGTCACGATCAATTACATTTATAGTGAATTTTCTGCTAATTTTTATTAGTCGTTATTAATTCGAAATTGATCATGATATCGACACTAATTCTCGTTTAATTTCGATAGTTTTCTGTGCAGAAGTTTTTTTTTACATAACGTTCATAATGTTCTTAATTCTTGGCTTCTACGGAACACGGTTGTAATTCCAAATTTTTGGCTGGTAATGGGTTTCTATCGCCGTCCAAAGTATTAAACGTGAAGTATTACTAATAGTAATAAATATCAAGTGAAAGAAAAACATTTACTTTCTACATCACATTTATGAAAATAAAATTCTCCCTACATCTAGCATCATCGAAAAAGCTTTCTTCAAAGCGTTTTTAACATCGCAACAACAACAAAAAATGTAAAGAAATGTTTCAAAATTTAACACCATCGACAAGCTAGAAAATATGTACCTTTAAAATCACGTTCTGTCACAAACGAAAGGAACAGGACGGTACTTGACGATTTTTAATATTTTAACTGCTGTCCGCACGATCTTCGATAAATAAAACGAATTATCACAAGTACGATTTACTCACCAGACGTTGCTTACTCCGGAATAGGAGGAATTACATGGCACTCTGGTATCGTAGACAATGTCTGTTTTGATTCTAGTTGTTGTACCTGAAAATTATTCGTAAGTTTCTTCATATTGTATTGTTTTCTTTCTTTGTATTTATTTTCTTTTCATCTCGAATTAATTTTTCCTTTCTCTTATGCGTATAAAATGTATATTTACACGTTGTCGAAGAGATTTCTCGTTCATGGCTGCTCTCGATAATAAATGTTTCACTTTGTCTAGGAGTTCAGACTTGTGGTACAATTGCTCCCTCAATGTCTTTATCTCCCCGTTATCCTCCTCCTTTTGCACCTTTTCGAACGCAGCTACCCTTCGCTCGGCCAATTGCAAATCTGTTTCTAACGCCACGATTCGCTTCTGCGCTTCCTCGTAATTATTTTTCAACGCTGTTTCGCTTTTGCTATTTAACAATTTGCCCTACACGCGAAATCGATAAATCGTTAGTGATGAAATTAGACGTAAACATAGGATAAAGATATGAAATTAAAGAATTGTTCCCCTGCCTGATGTATATGATTCGTCTTTGAGCCAAGCCTGAGACGTCTGTTTTCTACTTGAAGCTTCTCGATGATTCTTTTCAACGTAAAGATCGTCTTTTCCATCTTCAAGATGGATTGTTTAGTACCGTGGTCTTGTAAATCTTTGTCCGACGATCTTGGAGTCGAATCTGACGATTTTTCTACTTTCAGTAGCTCTATGTATCTATATATGAATGATAAGTTGTAGAATAAAGCAGCTATTTTAATATCGTTGCTTCACTTATAATTATCCCTTAAAAATAGAATTTTTATTTAATTTCATCTTAAAATATATGAATAATGAAGCTTAAACTGTACAACAAAATATTTGTTTTAATCATCGTAAACGACAGTGCTTCCACCAAAAAATGCCGCAGTGTTTAATAGAAAATCTAATAATTTATCATCGTTCCCTAACTTGTTGTTGATCCATTGAAAATACATTTTTTGTAGAATATAAAATAGACAATATTATATCTTAAATATTGGAATGTGCAAAGCAGTGAAATTGTTGAAAAAAAATAATACGATAAATATTCCAATTAATTAAAAATGTCAGATCCAGATTCATAAACCTTAACTTACAATAAAATATTTAATTAAAAACGCATTACTAAACCTACTTTTCTAAGTGTTCAACCTTCTCCCTCAACCTAGGCGTGTCCGCGTTCGCCTTTTCCAATTCGAGTCGAAGTTCAAAGTTCTCGGCTTCCAACGCTAAGTTCATTTTCTCCAAAATATCTTTAGTCATTTCCAATTTCTCTAACTGACTAACAACATAGCTGTTACCCTACAAAACATCGATAAACATAAAGAAACAACTCAACAACGAATCAGAAGACTGCAAACAAAGAAACAGACCTGAGAAATTGTCTCTAAAGCAGCAATACGTGCTTTTTGCTCTTCGATTTTGTGCAAAAGCTTCTCATTATCTTCGTTCTCCAACCTGTCGGACAATTCTTTGACACGTTCGCGTAAAGTTTCGCACTCTTTCTGAAGATCTCCCATTATATTTTGTCGAACAGTTATTGGTCGAGCTGATAGATTTCCAGCTGCTGTGTGACCTTCTGATTTCAATTTGTTTTTTAAATACCATTTTTCCCTTTCCATACACGAAACCACCGATCGAAGTTTCTCGTAGTTCGTGAGTAATTTCGAGTGTTCCTCCGTTTTTTCTTTGAGCTTCTCTTTCAACTTTTCGGCAGTTTGTTGCCACTTCTTCTGCTTTTCCCACAACGATAGCTCTTCCGCTGTCTACGCGATATATTTTGAAATTTTTGTACATATTACTAATGTGGTACATTTATACCAGTTAGATGTAAAATTGTCGAAGTAAGTGTACCTTGGCTTTCTTCGCTTCCTGAGCTAAATATTCTCTGTCTAACTGCGCTCGAGCTTTCTCGAGTTCTTCTTCCAAGGACTTTACTTTACGTTCAAGCAGAATTTCGCGCTGCGAGGTTTTCTTTTCTTGTGCCTTTACGGCCATATATCTATGACGAAGGTAATTAGAGAGGGTAATTCAAGGACGATTATGGTTAAAGGGTTCCTCCTGTCTCTTGTATTTTCGTTCGAATATACAAATAAAAAAAAGAAAAAAAAGAAAACAAATCGTATCAAAATTAAAACAAATAAATTTTGTGTTACGCAGAGGATTCTATTTTCATTAATAATTGGTAGATTGGTCCAAAAATTCATTTATTAGTTGACTGCAAATTTTTATGTATTCATGGAAAATTTAAATGCCCAAGGATTCATAGAACGCACGTATTGTGCATTTAATATTCAAACCTATCAGTTCAAAGTTTCAGTATCCGCATAAATTTCCAGATAAAAATACCCAAAGAATAGAGATTTGAAGGGACTTTATAAAAAAATATCACGATGGACCTACTCCTTCAGATCTACTCGCAAAAATATGAATTTGCATAAACGACTGCAGTCTATTTATTAATTTTTTGAGCGCAACCTATGGGCTTTCAAAGACGAACATTTTATCTAAATTTTATTTTAAAAAGGTCCTATATGACTTCTATCTATGACCCATATGTTCGAATAAAAATCATGAAAAACATTTCTGTATCCATTGGGAATCGAATTTACTATATTAATACATTATACGTTCTGTTTTCTCGCTTTTCGCCTATCACAAAAATACCTGCGACTAAGTTGTTGCTTCAAATCAGAAATTTCGTTCTTATACATTTTCTCCTTTTCCAACAACGACTGCAGCTGTTTCCTCACTGTATCCGTATGATCCTGTTGCTGTAAATTATCGTGACTCTGTGTAATTTCGTGTATCTTCAACTCTGACTCGCCATGAGTTATCGCTTGCCGTGATCGAGTAGCAGATCCCATTAATTCAACTTCGTTCTTCGTCGAGGAAAAAAGGAAGTAATCAAATATACGTAATAAAATAACATTTAATATAAATTTCCAAAGACCGTGAAGAATCTATGGTACCTGCAGCTCCTGACACGCAAAACTAAGCTGATTTATCTTATCATCTTTCTCTTGCATCTCTTTCATCAAAGACATATTTCCTTTCGTGACCATCATACGATTTTCACATAATTGTTTTCGTAACGTGTCCGCCTCTGATTGCCATTTTGCCAATTCTACGAGATAGCTCTCTAACTCGCTTTTATGCTGTTCTTCTAGTCTAATAAAAAGCGATAGTTCAACATCTGATTGTCTTTTTCAGCTAACGACATATTAAATAGAAACGATAGATGTAGTGTGGTCGTAAATTAAAGCTTCGACTTTGGTTATAGTCTTTGAATTTCTATGTTTCACTCTCATTCTCGTTTTGACGAGCAAAGGACGTTGTCAATGTTCCAAGAGAAACTTCAGTACAAAATTGAATATTAACAATAATTTTTTATGTATCTTCCACAAAAGTAAGAAGCTTTGTAAAGATCGAAAGATACGATTGGATCAAGAATGGCCGAAACAATGCATGAACACACACAAACTAGGTACATCCGTACAATTTTAGCTATCCTAATTTTTAGTTATCAGTACAAATGCTATTGAATTTTACATGTTTTTGTGGATCTAATCTCACTATCGCAAACTTTCCAACGAATCTGAATCCTTTTTTTTACTAAAAACGACTATAGTCGCTAAACTTTGGATTTTTATGCATTCGTGGGTAAATTAAAAATGCACAAATTCACCTAATGCATATAACATATAAAAATATATAAAATGTTCAAAATTGAGTTACTCGTCATAATTCTTAGATAGGTTTCATCTTTGCAAAAATTCGCAGTCCAATAATCTCCCAGAAACAGGGATTTCAATCAAATTGTAATTGGTTTCTCGGCTAATAGTGGAATCAAAACGCGTAGACTTTTAACTGCTAATTTTCCGACCTCACTATATCCTTTCTACCTACAACGATACCTTTCCCTCGTACGATCCACATGATTCAGCCTTTCCTCGGCCAACCGATGCCAACGATCGCTCAGTTCCTTAGTTATACACAAATCTGCCTCCAAAGTAGAAACCTTCTCTTTCAACCTAGCAACCTCTTCCGTCTGCATAACGATATTTCTTATATCATCAATTTTCGACTCAGCTTCTTGTACTTTTTCAATCAATTTCTCTGGCTCGTCTCTCCTATCATCTTGCCTCTGTTGAATTCTTTGAGTATCGCTTTGCATAGATAGAATACGACTCTGCAAACTTCTGATTTCTTCTTGTAGTCGAGCTGCAGCCTTACTATGCTCGTCTCTGTCTTCTTTCAACAGGTTTTGATATCTGCCTATGGTCTCCTCCTTTTGACTGACAAGCTTTTGCAAGCTGTTTATCGTCGACTTCAAAGCAAGCTTCTCACTACAGTCAGTGGTAGGGCGTTGTACACGAAGCGAAAGCTTGTATTCTTCAATTATTCTCTCTTTCTGCGCCAGTGCTAGGTCTTTGCTTTTTATTATCTCGTTCAACGAGTCCACCTTCGCCTGACACTCTGCTATCTGTAATTCGTACTTGATTAAAGCGGAGGAACGTTCGGAGCTGAGCTTCAGAGCTTGATCCAATTGTTCTCGAAGTAACGACATTTCCTGATCACCTTTTCTTTCTATCGCATCTTTCTCTGCTTTTCCTCCGTGTTCTACGTCTACTTTTTCTCCTATCATTTCCTTCGTCGTTTTTATCGTTTCTTTATATCGTGTATCTTCTTTAGAATGAATCGCTTCTTCCTTTTTTTCTTTGACTTCCATTTCTTTCGACGTTTCTTTCGTTGGCTCTTTCGCCGTTTCTTTTGCTTTCTCCTTAAATTTTCCATCTTCTGGATCACTTTCTTTGGAAAAAGTGGTCTGAACTTCAATATCGTTCGTTTGTTTCTTGTCCAAGCAACAAGTGTAGGGATCTGTTTGCATTTCTCTTGGTTTCGTCTCTACGATTGCTTGAATCGACGCATGCTTGTTTTCTGGTAACTTTGGGCTCGTTGGGTCATTCGTATTGGTTTTGGATCGTTGATCTTGACCTTTGCTCCATGCTTTCTGGATCTGTATCATCTCGTGCTCCATTTCGGTTATGACCGATTCGTATTCCGTGAATTTGTTGTTGGCTATTTGGATCTCGTACTCTAGTTGTGTTATCTTTCGTTTGCACTTAAAGTCCTGATCAATTGTTAATTGTTAATTTAAAGCAAACCATCTGACTTGAAATAAATCAAAAATAAAAATCAACGAAGGAAAATAATAAAGGACGAAATACGACTGAATGCAACTATTTTCAATGATTAATAAATTAAAAAGTTTGTAAATTATTATGACTCTACTTATGTTTAAATTAATTAATCGAATCAATCGAGTTTTTAGAATGGATTAAAGAAAATTTGTTTGAAATATATACAGAATAAAGTACACGTCGAATACAGAAATAAGAAAATATGGAGACAGAAAAATATTAAAAAGAATACGTGGCCATTAACAGAAAAAACATTTTGCTAAACAATTTGATAAAAACACGTACGTTCAGAGTATACTGCGAATATTCTGAAAATCGTTGCATAATATCTTGGACACTGTTGCTTCCAATCTGTTGTTCTAGTATATCTTTCAAACTTTCAACGATTTGTAAGCGATTAGTTAATGTTTCCTGTTGCTGCTTAGCATTCTCATGGCACTCTTTCGCTTTTTTCATATCCGAATCGATATTCTGACGTTCGTCTTTGAGTTTCATCGATAACGAAATTACTCTATCTAAAGCGCTAATCGAAGTGGAGCCTGCGTACTGATTTTGCAGAAATCCTATCACATCTATATACATTCTGCAAAAAAATTCTTATTAATTGAATACCTGTATATCATGAAATATAATAGAAAATAATATCTCTCTAATAAAATAAAATAATTCTCTATAATAGAAATGAAAAAACAAAATCTTCTCCAGCAACAATCTTATACTTCAAAATATACTTCATTAAAAATTCCAATTTCTAACTTACCTATATATTTAAAATTATAATTAATTCTATAATTCCAGTATTTAAGTTTAACTTCTAATCTATGTATGTATTAAGGAATTCGAAGATTTATTTTTAGTGTAATTCTAATTTACTAATTTATAATTCGAATTTTAAACCATTGTCAATTTATATATTAAAAATTCTGAAATGTTTACTTAATTTCATAATGCAAAATTCATTCATGTCGTCAGAGGAGATCGGAAGTTTATGGAAAACAATTTCACCTGCAACGATTATCGCATTGTTTTCGACAATCCTGCACATAAGTGCGCAATCCTTCGCAAGTTGTCCTCGATTTATCAAGTTCTTCCTGCAAATACGACACCTCGTTCTCCAATCTAACTTTCCGCGTATTCAATTCCATCTCTAACAAATTTTTATTCGCCAACTCAAAATCCAGCCTGGAAATTGTCGCTTTGTCTTCACTAACAGCTTGCAAATTTAATATGTGATGCCTGAGATTGTCCAATTCCATCATTTTTAACGAATTCAACGAATATTGCTGCTTAGCTTCCTCTTGAGCAATCTGCAGTTGTTTCTTCAGATTTTCAATTTCTATCTGAAGAACTGCATTGTTGTCTTTTAATTCTTGCACTTTATTATCATCTACTTGTTGAGTCCTCTCAAAGTGCAAATCTTTGGATAATCTTTTATGCAGAATAATTAATTCTTCTTGCAATTCAGACTTAGCAGCGGCCACTTCTTTAAGATTTCCCTCGCATTTTGACAATTGAGTCTGTAAAATTTCATGCAGACTAGTCACGTGATCAGCTCGTTGCTTTTCTAAAAGTTCTCCAGCCTCAGCTTCTCTCAATTTTTCCGTCAAATTTAAATCCTGATCGCTTTTGCTATGAATTTCTTTTTGCAAATACTCTACAACTTGATCTTTTTCTTGAGTTATCAATTCCAATTCTTTCTTTAATATTTCCATCTCATTGTCATTTCCTAATACTAAATTATTTTCCATCATATTACGAAAACGTATGCTTAATTCTTCGTGTTTCTCTCTTAATTCATTGTAAATGGCTGAACTAACAGAATTGAATAAGTTGCTCTGCAATATCGATAACTCGCGTTCGAGGATTTTGTTGTGTTTGGTAAAGTCAGCCAATGCTTTGTTTAAATAATTTTCATTTCTAATTGCTTCTTTTTGGGTCTGGTAAGCTTTCGTTGTTTCCTTATTCAACAATTTTTGAAGAGCAAAGTTCTTCCTGTTTGCAATTAAAACTTCGCTGGAAGCTTCTGCATATTCTTTGGTCTTAATCACGAAAGCTTTTCGAATCTCATCTTCGCCACCTTCCAATATCTTCGCACTCTGCTCGTAAACATCGAGCTTATGTTTCAACTTTTCAATTTCGTTTTTAAGCTCATCGTTTTGTTCTGTTAAGGAGGTCTTTTGTTTCTCCCATTCTTCTGTCTCGTTTTTATAGGCTTCTTGTAATCTCTTCATTTCGGTAAGATACGTAGTTATTTTTTCGCTGTCTGAGTCTTCGGTGTACACTTTATCGATATCGCCATGTACATTCAAAACCAACTTGCGCAGCATGTTATCCTTTCTTTGCAGTTCTTTTCTATAATTATTTATACTTCGTAATAGCAATTTGTTTACTTCGTTGATCCATATATTAGTGAAATATACAGCAACGATTTAGAAGAATATTTATAAATGTAGAGAATGGCCAAAAATAAAAGATTCTAAGTTTGAAGTTTGAGGGATAAAATTATTCTAAAAAATGTCTGGTGACTTTGATATGTAAATTATAGTTTAATACACATTCAATGGTCCATTAAAAAATTGTGTTATGACTGCAATAGGAGGAAAATAATACCATTTCAATTAAACACATTCGGTGATTCACTATAAAATTTCCTCATATTACAGAAATATTACAGAAATCAATCCTCATTTATATAACCAATTTAAATAATTTTATCCTTAAAACTTGAATTAAATTTCATTGAAAAAAGAAACCAGATATTTCGAATCTTCATTACAAGCATTATAAATTTACCTCAATTGTTTAACTTGGCCTCTCAATTCAGCATTGCTGCCCTGCACAACATTCAAATTCTCCTGCAACCTCATCGCAGGATGATACCAGCCTGCTAAATGTCTCACATCTAACGCCTCTAACAACCTTTCTAAAGTATTAGACTGTATCTCCACACTACTTTTTCCTACGATATTAAACGATTAATCATCTATCTAACTTATACATATAAAAAAGCAAGACTAATAAAGAATACTTTTTAACAATACAACAAACGCAATATACAAACATGATTAGTATACGTGTGTTCAATAGTTTACGTGTGTTATGAAAGATAGAAATTCGAAATAGAGAATGAAGAAGCAATTTTGTTGTGGAAAGAAGGAAAAATTTGTGCATCATTAAAGTACCATTAAAAGTAGCGAAAATTCACCGTCTTGGTTTCGGATACTGTCCAAAATTTCATGCATCCCTGTTCTAAGGGCTTCGTTCTCCTCTATAACTAACTGGACATTTTCTTGCAGCTCAGAAACATTTAATTTCGAATGCCACATAGGTGTAGATTCCGCCAGTTTGGTCGAATGGAAAAATTCGCCAGTATCATTTACAGTAGCATCCGAAACATCTAATTCTTTCGATGACTTTTTACATAATTTATATTTTAACACCCTTATCTAAAATATTAAGGTAATCCAAGGAAAAAAAAATTGTTCGATTCACAATCGAAAATGAATTATTTTAATTCAATCGACAAATATCGTCATTGAGTATTTGCTTCTTACGTCTGAATTTAATTCTAAATTTTCCTCGACGAGCAATTTATTTTGATGCAGAAGTTCCGTCAATTTCTTTTCCTGCTCTCTACGTTTTGCTAAAGCGTGTTCAATGGAAACCGATTCGTCTTCTGGTATACCTAATTTTTCTCTACAATCCATATTATTAACATATGTGCAATGAAAGCTTTCAAAATGTGCAGTGGTCTTACAATTACCTAAGGGTTATAATTTCCATTTCCTGATACGAGTTTAACATCTCTAATTTGTTCACCACATTAATTAAATCTGTTATACGCCCACTCTTGCTCTCCAGTTCACTTTTTAGATTTTTTATTTCGTTCAGTGCGTCTGTTAAAGCTTGATTCTCGTCCTCATATTTCCTCAACGTTCCTAATACTTCGCACAACTGAATAACATGAAATGTTTAAAAGACCTGAGACTAATATAAGTGTTTGTTAAATAAAATATATCTAATGAACTGACTTTGCCACTTTTTGACTCCGCATCTTCCTCCGCTTCGTTTAATTTAATTTGCAAATTAGATATCTGTTCGTTCGCATCCTGTAATTTTTTTAACAAATCCTTCTGCTCCTTCTTTTTGTCGATCTTTTTTATCCTGAAGGAAATATCAATGAAATTTTAACCACAGATCGATTATATTCAAAATCTTTATTTCCTTAAAAACGATTATGTACATACTTTTGAGCATCTGTTTTTAACTTTTCTATGAGAGTTGCACTTTCGTTGATTTCAACGGTGGCTTCAGATAATTTTGTTTTTAACTCGAGTATAATTTTATCACGATGATCTATCTGCTCGTTCAAGTGGACGATTTCGGATTTATTTTGCTCTTTGACAGAGGCCACGGATTGCATGAAAGACTGAGACAAATGTTCTCTTAATCGCAGAATTTCATCGTCTTTTTCATCTAATATTGCCTAACAAATTTTGAACGAATTAAAACGTGTGAAGAGCTTCATAATCTTACTTTAATCCTTTGATTCCCATAGGCATCAACAGATGCAATCTTCCATTTATTCAAAGTACAAGTAAACGTAAATAATTATAATATAAAAAAATGTATTTGATTTTCGTTTACTTTTTAAATTACCAACATTTTGGTAGGACAATGAAATACAGTAAGAAAATTTATAAATTCTAATATAAGACTAAAAAAATAATATTGTAAATGAATATCAAAACAGTTTCAAAATTTTTTAATTCGTATCAATAAAAGCAGAAATTAATAAAATTAATCATATAGCATCATAATCTGAGCTTTGGGAATTAAAGTTGCATTACACTACGATATACCTTCCATTCATTGATTCTAGCATCAATTTGTGTACTAAATTCATCTATTGCTTTATCTCTATCTAACTGCTGAGCTGTTACTTCCTCAACCTGTGTCACTAATGCTGCGTTTTCTCGTTCTAAGTTAAATATTTTTTCTGTAAAAAATACATTCTTGCAGTTTGATCATAAAACTGAACCTGTTTATAACGAACTAAACAACTTTTCATTTTAATAACCTTTATATTCTATAGATTTGATCTGTGCAGAACTTAGTTCTTCGGTCATTTCATTCATTTTATACGTTGCATCTTCCATTTCTTGAGTTAAAGTGGTTAACCGTCCTTTTAAAACTAAATTGTCCCTTTCAAAAGTCTATGGAATTACAAAGATGTAAACAGAACATTCTAACAATATTTTGTTCCATTTGAAACTCACCTCTAATTCTGTCATAAGAATTTTAATCTTTTTATTTTTGCCTTGCAAAGCATCGTCATAATCGGTGCCTTCAGATACATCTACGTGCTTAAAACAAAATAACATGGACAGTTTTATAAGAGGTTTTTATATCTTTGCTGTATTACTAATGAAATATCTTACTTTAGATACATCGGTGGTTTCATGTTTTGAATCGGAAGTACCCCATTCTATCATATAAAATGAAACATATTTTATAATATACTTTCATTGCAATAGAGTAATAAAGTAAACCTTGATTAAAATTATACTTTAATTAAAGAATACACACGATTTACCTTTCTTTTTACGCTTAGCAGGTTCAGGTTTTAAGGAAGAAATGGTTTGTTTTAATTCGCCGCATTCTAAAAGTAGTGACTCTACCTATTAACAAAATAAATTTCAGAATATCACACAAGAATACTAATTATTAACCTACATAAATACTATTCTATATTCGACAAGGAAAAACATGATAGAAGAATAAGAAAGAGTGCTGCATTTTATTGAATAAATATCACACAAATAACAATAGAGTTATTCTATAAAGAACAATTCGTGTTGAATAAAAATGTTAAATGATTATTTTTACTTGATTGTCTTTGTATTGCAGTATTTCTTGAGATAGTTTCATCAAAGTTCGTAGGTTATGTATATCACTAATATCGTCAACGTCGCAACTGATCACAGCAGGATAAAGATCCTCCATGTCATCGTCGGTTAGTGACGATGGATCCGCTGATAATATACGATCCCAATCAGTACGACCCATTTTTCGCGATAATTGTTTATTACCACTAAATATAACCCCACTATTTCTACGTAATCACTATGTTTGACGTTTACCAGCGACGCCTGCCAGCTAGTTGTCATGGGAACTCCTTTTCAGCGTTTGATCCGACATCTGGCGAGAACTTAGAAAACTAATACGAAGATATAACATTATTGAAACATTTCCTATTAACGCATGAAAGCGAAAATTTTGTTTGAAATATGTACTTTATAATGTTCAAAGAATTTTATAAATACTATTCAAACACTATTATATAAAACACAGAGGTCAATACGATGTTTTCATTGCCATAAATTTGATTAAAATTACGCTATTTTTTGTTAATGTTAGTTCGTATATTCGAATTTTTATTCTACAAATTTCAATTTTTATATGGAAAATTCATATATATAAACGAATACTTTTGAAACCTCGAATTGAAAATATTGTACATGATTCAGTAATAGTATTACGTTATGTTATGACGACAATAGAAACATTATCAAAAAGTGTTTCACATAAACAAGATAACCGGCTATACTCTCATCTAATCCCACTATGAATATCGAAGGAAGTAGAATTCACATATTGTATGAAAATCATTTAAATGCAGAAAAATAAGGAATACACTTTTCACAATAATTTCTTACATACCTACATCATTTCATACCTACATCTAACTTGCGTATTCATAATACAGCTGCATATAATGCTTCTCTGTAGTTACAAACGCAAGGAAAAATCTAATTCGATAATAGAGAAAAGAGAAATGTAACATGATAAGAATACTTATCTAAAACAACTTGGAAACATTTACAGCTCGCATGCTAGTGCTAGCGTCACGTGATATCTTTACATGTATGACACATAGTATCATTAGTATGTGAACCACTGAACAAGGCTATTTACGAAATTCAACATTCAGACGGTTATGGGTGCTCGAGTTTTAAAATGCGATATTGTATGTAAATAACGATAACATATTAAACCGAATACATTATCGCCACGCTGCGCGAGCCGTCACTTCGTTGCGATGATACTTAGTAAATTGTCTACGCGTTTAAACGCGTCTCTAATTCTCAATTTCACGCAAAGATCATCTATGTTACGCGACCAAGTCAGGTGGATACAATTCACGTATTATACCGACAAAACCATCATCGTTCCTGGTGAGTAAATACGATTGATTTTAATTGTGATTCTTGACCACCAGTCGATTAACTCCTAAACGTGCAACTTTTTTCGATCCAATCAGTTAAAGACGTGCAATTTTTTTTAGCGCAATTGTTTCTTAGCTATGTAATAATATATATTTTTTATAATTCTAATACTTTACATTTACGTTTTTAATAGAATAACATGCGAAGTACAAGTTCTAAGGAGGACAAATTAAAAAGAACAAATGTTTTTATAAATACAAAAACGTGACTGTTTATCGCTAAATATGTTGATTTGTTAAAAAAATGGTTCGTTGACTATATCCGTGTCTCATATGGGCATGAGCGTTAAGGGCATAAAAATAATTTTTCGTTAACCATTGAGTGTAAATATATTTCTGTCAATCGTTGAATGAATATATTTTTGTGACATTTTCATAAAGATATATTATTGTAATTTTTGAAAAAAAAATTGATTTGTGTAGGTAAAAAGACGAAAATACATGTCTGTGTAATGCTTTTATGTCAGCAATTGAATCGCTACTTTATTACTAATTACAGTAGTTGTGCGTTAAATTACATTTGCCGTTTCCTGGTAAGGATGATGAGACAAATAAGTAGACACGAGAGAATATTTCAGTATTACGTATAGATGAAGAAGTTGAATTATGAATAGCAATAAGAAAAACAGTGAAGATGTAATGGCAAGCATAACTATATAATTTTAATACAATTATGTTTTAGGTGAAACTGAAAAAATGAATATGTATCAAGCGATAAACCATGGACTTCGAATAGCATTGAAGAATGACCCTGCTGCAGGTAATGAAATTTCAAAAATTTTCTCTCCCTCTTTTATTGAACACTCAATGAAATTACTAGGTGAAGTGCACACTATAAATAATCCTAGTCACTACTTACTAGTTGTTATTAATTGATTTAAAAAATTACTAGTACTATGTGAAGATAGAATATTAATTTTCAGAGAGACAAATTAATTTCTGTATCAGTTTTTTAAATTGATAAGGTTCTAGTTATAATATGTAAATTACTATAGACCTGTTATCCAATATTAATATCAGTATAAATATTGTTATATACTATATATACCCTCATTTACGTGCAAACATTTTATCAATGAAGAACACTGATAATTTTCCTGACTTAGTGATCTTCGGTGAAGATGTCGCATTTGGAGGAGTATTTCGCTGTACGATGAATTTACAAAAGGAATTCGGCAATGATCGAGTTTTTAACACGCCACTTTGCGAGCAAGGAATCGCTGGCTTTGGAATTGGTTTAGCCACCGTTGGTGTGACAGCGATCGCAGAAATTCAATTTGCTGATTACATATTTCCTGCCTTCGACCAGGTATCAACATTGTTAAAAATTTCGATCACTAATTTTCACAAGCTTAAAACCGCTTTTCTAAAGAAAAAAATCCTATCATCGAAATGCATAAACATTTTAGTTTGTAATATAAATTATTCTATCTGTAGTTGGTAAACGAAGCAGCAAAACTTAGATACCGAAGTGGAGCAGAATTCGATTGTGGTAAATTGACAGTTCGAACACCATGTGGCGCTGTCGGTCATGGAGGACTCTACCATTCCCAGAGTCCAGAAGCTTATTTCGCTCATACACCAGGATTGAAGGTACAATTTGTTAGTATTCAATATATTGAATTAAAATATAATATAAATATTATAAAACATGCCTTTTTCTATTACTATCGGATGTACTAAGCTATGGTTACAATGGATGCATTTTCTGACGAACGAATGTTCCGAAAAATAGACGAGAAAAATAACTTGATATTTTCTACTATTTGATTGTACTATATGTAATATACCATATTATACTGTTCTGTATGAAGAATATACTGAGGTGGTTATAACGTGTAGGCATATTTAATGAAGTAACGAATGGATGAATTTGTAATAGTCAGATGTATTATGGTACTATACCAATCGAAGAAAGAATAGGAAGCGTGTTCATACATTTATATCAACGGACGTTACTACAAAAAGTTAACCTTCTTGTGTAACTCTAGTTAAAAATTACATGAAACAGCAATAACAATCTAGACCTCGTAACCCAAAACAACGTTAATATTCAAAAGCATAATAATAAGAATCTCGTCCAGTTTTAAATTTTCCGTTTCAACTTGAAACTTTTTCTACGGCCATTGACCGCTACAGTACAAACTGTTGTTCTGAAGAATGAAACATCTGAAAAACAGTGCAGGTATTCTTATAAGAATTGTTCTGATGCATCCGCCGGAACATTAGTTTATCAAAAGACATATCGATAGTAACTGTAATCTGATTTATCACGACTATAGCAAGGAAAAACATATTTTATGATATCTATTATATTTTAATTCATTTATGCAACATTAATATATTCATATAACCTTATGAAAATTTATGAATATGATGCCACAGACACTTACTTAATAATAAAATTTCTATGAAATTCGAATGATTATTGAGCAAATATGAAAAAACATTCAGTAACGAAATAGTATTTGAAGGTGCTACAAAAGCATTGTACCATAAGTATGATCTCTAATGGCGCGTAAATGTTGGGCTATAGAATATTAGATACAAATTCTTATCTTGTAGTTGATAATTTGATTGGATTCAGGTATACGTGGTTTCTTAGCACGCAAATGAAGCACTTGAAACGCAATATTCCACTAACACACTTAAAAATTTAATCAAAATCGCATAAAATCGCGACGAACTATGCAACGACATTTTCCGACCAAAAATTCCGCGCGTAACATCATTGCTACGAGGTTCACACGAATTAAAAGAAGGAGGTCGGCGCTGATTGGCTAAAAATATTGTCAACTTAATGGTGGTAAATTTGATTACAGAGAATGAATTAATAGTTCATAATTTACTATTATAGTTTTATTGTATATTTGTGTTCTAAAGAATTGAGCATAACAAAATGTAATAAGTTACAGAATACTTCAAATCATATTATTCTTATATCGAATTATATTAAATTACATAATAGTTTTCAATATGTAGATATACATATACATTACAATGTCATATGCACCAAATAGAATGTAAATTTGTGATTTCGCATATGTCTCTTGTAATAAATCATTACATTCATATCACTTTTGATGTTAACGCAGGTTAAATCTCAGACAAAGTATAAAACAGAGCTGAATATTGACGTCATAATGATGGTAAAAGGAAGATAGAATTTAATTAATATTAACACAAATATCATAGGGATATAAAAAATTCTATATTTCGTCTGCAATAATTATTCATATATCCATAGCTACAACAATTCCAGCAACTATTAATGTTATCACTGCAGAGTTAGTGCCAAAGTTTAGCTTTAGCTTTTATTGATAAAAAAGCTCTTTATGTCCTGTAGATTACAAAGTTCTTCAACTCACGTCGATAACGAATACTTTCCTCATTCTTAGACAGATGTCTCTATCAGATACAATCGTCCACCGAATTTATTGATTCATTGAAAACAATAGATCAATGATACAGAGAGAAACTAGCCACTTTATCTTAACAATCATCCTGGCAATAGCTTCTTTTCTTTTTTATTAAAACGCTTCTCATTTAATTCGCAACTAAATAATTTGTAAATTTAATCGCCGGCTATTCATCGCGTTCAGATTGAAACGGTCACGGAACAAATTGGTGACGAATGAATAGAAACGTTATAAAAAGTTGAAGAGCATCCAGAATGGATTTCTGTGCTCAAGGATATATACGAGATCCTTCGTTGTCGAGTTCACTTCTATTCTATAGCCATTGACTCTTAACTTTCTGGAAGAGGTTCTATGAATATTGCACGACGCACGTATCTACGTATGCATGAGGAAAGTTTTCCTCGTACACTAACGTGTCACTACCGACACTATACATCTCGATTACATGAACAGCAGTGCGCAACATCGCGTCGACATTTCCTGAAGCTGAGAGATCGCACGCTCTTCGTCGCGCGCTTTGACATAGTACACCAACCGTGGAAACAAACCTGCAACGTAATAAAACGTATGTTGCTAGCATATAGTATTAAATCGTTTGGATAGTTCGGAGCGAAATTACAAAAATGTTTAACATTCTGTTAAATAACGTATATATTGCTTTTTCCAGTGGTTCTTTTTTGAGGAGCTTCTTATTTTTACCAGCATAGAATTCCTTCGAGTAGCTTTTACTTGAAATTCTTCAAATCCGTAATTAATAATTTAAAGTATCATATTATAAAACCTGGAATAAATATACGTGTAATGAATGGGAATAGATAATTAATTCTTCCTTAATTCCTTTTAATATACAATTATCCATGTACGATTATAATTTAGCAATTTTATTCGATTATTTTGTAGACTATGAATTGTTAAAGATGTTACGAATTTTTCAAACAAACAAATACATTCTATCGCTTACCTGTTTTAAACGGTATTTTGGATAAAAATTTATATAAATGGAATTTGGCTTGGTTTTAATTATTTGGGAAAAAAAGCTTTGTGTTTTAATGCGTATTTGATTTAACGCAATGGAAGGGACAGTTTAATGGACATTTCCAAGGAAAACGGATTGTACCCTATCACACAATCATTCAATTCCTTCACTTTAGACCTTCGAAGTTCCTTACGTTCATTT